ACCGCGTCCGTAGCTCTTATTTTCGCTGCCGTATCCGCCACTCCCGCGGCCTCCATTGAAGTTGTTGGTGCCAAATCTGCCTCCCCCTCGTCCTCTGCCCCTTCCACGGCCATACCCTCGGCCGATGCTTGCTGCCCCGGCGCCATCCGCACTCGCCAACTCACGGCGGCGGAAGTCCTCTTGAAGGATTGCTCGCTTCACATCTTCAAGCGAGAGGTGGGGCAAGTCACGATTGAGGTTGATGATGAGCGAGGACCATGACTCTGGGAGTAAGGCCGGCAACTTGGTCTTCTTTTGGAGCTCACTGTAGTTCAAATCAGCTCCCTCAAGCCGTGTCAACAAGTCGAAGAATTTCTGCACCCCTTCTTCAACCGCTTCGTCTTCTTCAATTCGTAGTGCCGCCATTTGCCGTTCCAACACCACTGCTACCGCCGCTGTTGCAGAAGCGTGTACACCCTTGAGAGCAGCCCATGACTTTGGTCCCTTCTCTGGTTCACGCTGGAATGGCTTGATGTGACGGATCTGGCTGCTCCCCAACAACTTGCCCAAGTAGGAGATAGCCTTGTGCGCTCTTCTGCACCCACGGGCTCTTCTCCGGGTCGTTCTCGGGGCGCTTCTCCGTGTTAGAGACTAAGGACGGAGTCTATGAAGATTAGGGGCTGAAATATCTCAAAATCGTCAACTACAATTCTGGACAGAAATGTCGTCGTCACAAGAAACGTCGTCAACGATTAACGAACAGTTAGAATTCTCTCAAACTCGAGTATGTTGTAGCCCTTGACCGTGGCTATCTTTCCCAATTTGAATAGTATCAAAATATGGAGTATAACTCGAGTTATGAACTTCGGCGCACTAGGGGGTATGCTGCCATAGAAAACGTAAATCACAATTATCTCACAAGTTTACACAAGAAAGTTAGAGTAGCAATTGAACCAGGTAGGAGGGGATGAGGAGGACGAGAGGGAAGGTCCCAAGGGATCCCCAACCAAGGAAACCCCATTCCACACAATTCCCCTCTCTATAGGCACCCCAACTTTGACATTTGTCACTTTCCCAACTCATGCCATCCACCTTGCCCAACTTGGCCACACTTGCCAACCTGGTTTGGCACCTCCCAACCACTTGGCAGCATCTACAGTGATGTTGACGAATTTCCCAACCCCCAAAAGTTTATACTCCTTATGGAGTCAACACCACTACTTCCCATAGTCACCACAACCAAATATCAAAAGCATACGAACTTCCAACGTTCGTAACTTTCTTGTTCGTGCTCCGATTGAAGCGATACTTGGTTCGTCGGAAAGCTCTTGAGCAGAGGAGTCACTTCAGATATCTGCTCAAGCCAAATAACATTCACACACACTCAGAAAATACCAAACCGCACAAAACACAAATTCTTGCATACGCTCACACCACGCATGCAACGCACGAACATATGATGGGAGGCAGACAGACGTGAATGCATATGATTGCATCACACAACAAACTCCCCCTCTGGCTGCCAACCATCATCCCACATGTCATAGCACAAGCATGCACCCTCAATGCACACTCATCCCAGCAAGCTTCATGCCCTTCCAATGCTCAGATTCAGCCAGGCGCTTGGTGAGAATGTCAGCCGCCTGCTGATGGGTCTTCACAATCTCCAGCCGCACCTCCTCGTCCAGGAGCCTCCTCACCCAATGCCACTTAGGCCTGATGTGCTTCGTCAGCCCATGAAGGCAAGCGTTCTTAGCAAGCTTCACAGCCGACTCGTTGTCACAGAAAATCACAGTTGGCTCCTTCTGGCACACTCCGATCTCCTCCAACAAACGCCTCAGCCACACCACCTCCTTTGCCCCATGATGCAGGGCCATGTACTCTGTCTCACACAAGGACAGCCCCACCTCGTTCTGCTTCTTGCTGCGCCAGCTCACTGCACCACCTCCAAACAGGCACACATAGCCTCCAATGCTGGTGCCATCCGCCTTTACAGAGTTGAAGCTAGCGTCGGTGTAGCAAGTCAAGAGCATCTCCCCCTTGCTCAAATCAGCTGCACCCCTCTGCAGCCTCTGTCGCACAGCACTGTACTCCAAACCCACAGATGCTGTAGCACTCACATAGCGGACCAACCTCTTGGCCGCTTCTAGCTGCTCATGACAGGGGCGTGAGACCACACTAGCAAGCCTGGAAGTAGCAAAGGCAATGTCAGGCCGCGTGTGGTTAGCCGCATAGTTGAGTGCCCCCACCATGGAATGAAACAGCTTCCTGTCACTCTCACCCACCACCTCCTCATCAGCACAGGGCTCCACAGTGAACCCCGAAGGCAGTGGTGTGGCTGGCTTTCCTCCATCTTGCAGCCCATACTTCTCAGCCAGCCCCTCACAATACTTTCTCTGGTGCAACCTCAACACTCCCTTGTCAAGGTCCCTCTCCACATGCATGCCCAAATAATACTTCACATCTCCCATCTTGGAGCACTTAAACTGCATCGCCAGCATCTCCTCCACACGCTCAATCATTGCAGATGACTCAGAGAAGAGCAGGATGTCGTCCACATACACCAGGAGCATGAGAAACTACTCCTTCTCTTGCAGCAGGAACAAGCTGTGATCACACTCACTCTTCTTGAAACCCCCAGCCAGCAGTGTCTCCTCCAACTTGTGGTACCATGCGCGAGGAGCCTGCTTAAGGCCATAGATGGCCTTCTTGAGCCTGCACACCCTGCCGCTCCCATCATCCAACCCCTCAGGCTGCAGCATGTACAGCTCCTCTAGGATGATCCCATTGAGGAAAGCAGTTGTGATGTCCATCTGCTTGATCCTCCATCCACGGTTTGCAGCCATTCCCAACATCACCCTTAGTGTAGTCCCTTTCCCCACAGGAGCAAAGATCTCATCAAAGTCCTTCCCCTTTGTCTGCTGAAACCCCTTTGCCACAAGCCTTGACTTGTAGCGGGTCAGCTCCCCATCAGGTCCGTACTTGTGCCTGAAGATCAGCTTGGAAGAAATGGCCTTCTTCCCAGGAGGCAGCTCACACAGCTCCCACGTTTCATTCTCCAGCAGAGAGTCATACTCCTCCTTCACACTCTGCTTCCACTTCTCAGCATCGGGCCCACTCAAGGCCTCAGCTAGCGTCTTGGGCTCAGGGACGGCTGCCCAGTAGCAGTGTGCTATCTCTTCCTCATCACACTGCTCAGCCACACTCCCAGCTCGTACCACCTTTGGCTTGCCAAAGCTCGGATAGGTCAGCCGGTTAGGAGGGCGCACATCCCTCCTAGGACGGTCAGCCGGACGTGCGGCACCTTGTGGAGCATCTTGCTGCTGCTGCTGCTGCTGCTCCTCCACCTCAGGTTCTCCCCCATCCTCAGTCACCCCAGAAATCTCCTCCTCTGAGACAGTGACCTGCACTTGCCTCGAAGGCCGCTGCACCTTATCGGCCTCAATGATCAGCGGTGTAGTAGGAAGCTTCTGCTGCTGCTGCTTCCACTCCTTGACACAGTCAGCTGCTGGCTGGTCAAGTCCCATATCAACCAGCCCTTATGATCCTTAGCAAGCCCCAAGTGTACTCCCCATTTCCCACTAGCCTCCAACTTTCCCCTCTTCTCCTTAGGCACATGAAACACCACCATGCAGCCGTAGGCTCTCAGCATGTTCACTGCTGGTGCACTCCCATACCACTTGGTGTAGGGGACCCACTGCTTGTCCCCCACAGTCGCCAACACCCTGTTCTTCACAAGGGCGACCTGCCGCAGTGCAGTCACCCAAAACGGATCCGGCAGCCCTGCACGCCCAAGGAGAGTGCGAGCACCTTCCTGCAGGGTCCGGTTGAAGCGCTCAGCCACGCCATTCTGCTGAGGGTTGTAGGGCACCGTGAGCTGATGCTGGATCCCCTTCTTCAGCACTGCCTCAAAATCAGCGCCAATGAATTCTCCCCCGTTGTCAGTGCGGATCACCTTCACCTTGTGTCCGCTCTCCCTTTGAGCTCTCGGCATCCACTCCTTGAGAACAGCCGCTGCCACTTCCCCCTTAGTCTTGAGAGGGTACACCCACACCGCACGCGTGTGGTCTTCCACAATGGTTAAGAAGTAGCGGCTGCCCGAGAGAGAAGGGGCCCTCGTAGGGCCCACCACATCCATGTGCACAAGTGCGAGCGGGGCCTTAGCTGGTCCCGTGCCGCTGCTGAACGGAAACTTTGTGAACTTGGTCTCAAGGCATGTAGGGCAGCTCCCAATCTCCTTTGCTACCCCCTTCACCTCCAACCCCTTCAAGCTCCCATCCTTCACTAACTTCTGCAGCATAGGAATGTTGATGTGACACAACCTCTCGTGCCACGTCTCCCAATCGGCATCACCATTCCCAGATGAAGCCTTTGCCCATGCAGCGGTTGCATCCACACCAGCAAGCACCTCACCATGTGGCTGCTGTGACTGCTGCACCTTCTTGACTGCATCTAGGGCCCCATCAGTTGGTGCAGTCTCCTCTCCTCCCGTCGTTGCTTTAGCCGTTGCCGCTGCCGCTGCCGTTGCTGGTGGTTTCCCATTCCAAGGGATGATGGGCAGCTGCCACAGGTCCTTGATGCAGCTGCTCTTCTCCTCCAAATCCCACAGCAGCAACTTCCCAAGCTTTGCACGGCAGCTGGTTGGGCCGAAGGTCACTTTGGCCTTGCTTTTCTGCAGCCGGCGCACAGAGAGGAGGTTAGCGGACAAACCTTCAACCAGCAGTACATTCCCCAGCCCCACAAGGCCCCCATTGGCTCCCATTACCTTGGCATTCCCAACACCAATCACAGGGAGCAAAGCACCTGAAGCGGCAGCCACAAACTTGATCTCCTTTTCTGCCTTAAAGTACCCGTTCTTTTCTCCCTCATCCATACACCTATGCCACTCAACATCCCCTCACACCTCCTCCCAGTGAACTCCGCGGGCGCATTGAGATGATCCCCTTGCGTCCTTCTCCCCGGCACCTGCCCTTCCTCCCTGCAGCGACCTCTCCCACAACTACCTCACAGGACCTGCAGTGATGCCTCCTGCTGCACGCATCCAGGATCTCTCCACCAACTTCCTCTTAGGCACTCTGCCCCACGGGGCGTGCCAGCCTCTCTCTTTTGATGCCAATTGCTTCACTCTGCCTCTTGGCTGTGCCTTGGTGCCGCAACGGCAGGAGGCAGCATGCAATGCGTTCTGTGGCGTCTCCTTTGCTGCTGGTGCTGCTGCTGCATGTGGAGGGCATGGGGTGTGCTATCCAGAGGGGGCTAGCTTGGCACCCACATGTCTATGCGATGCGGGATTTGTGCAATTTGGAGAGATCAGCTGTGTTGCTCAAGGTAGGGGACACCACTTGAAATCAAGGAAACATGACCAGAGACGGATTCACAGAATGGTGGGACGTCCAACTCACATGAACTCCAGTAGCTTGTAGATTGGAGATCAGTTGGACCTTCATTCGTAGGTCTCACCATCTCATTGTCACTTCCATCTCACGTTTTTTACTTGCACTTTTTTTTTATGTCCAAGTTTAGTGTAGTTGTAGTTTTCGTGGTTGGGTGTTACACCAACATCCCAACCCAACCCAGTTCAAATGTGATGTGATCAAATGTCATCTCCAACCCGACCAATTGAAGATTTCAGCCAATCTGATTGGCCCCCGATTTTCTACCCAACCGTTCCAGCCAATTTCTAATGTACTTAAGATCCTTTATCATATCAATCAATTGCCTCTTAAGCTTACACATATCCCTCTCCTGTCTGTTTGTCTGTGCAAACCAGATAAAGAATTACTCAAACAGCCAGCCAATTCTCCCGCCAGCAACTGTGCTCACAAAGGGGACGCAGCGCGAGACAAGGGGGAACTTCACCGCAGCGCTGGTGACGCTGTTTGTGTACGAGGCAGGGCAGGCAGCGTTGGGGTGTGTGCTGCAGCTTGCCTTCTATGCCAAATTCACCTTCTCCCTCTTGCCTCGATCCGGCCGCGTGGGCTTCAATGGCTTTGCCTTTGTTGTCTCGGCGACAGACCGGGTGGGGAGTGGTGCAGGTGTAGGGTATGGTGGAATGGACAAGCGGAGCATGGCGGTTGAGTTTGACACTCTGCAGAACAATGAGCATGGTGACATAAGCAGCCAGCATGTGGGGCTGAACATTCAAGGCAAGGATAAGTCGCTAACCGCTGTGAGGTCGCCCTTCCCTTTGAGCAACAAGAAGGCATACACGGCGGGTGGACTATGAGCCGGGGGACCCCGGCACCATCCAGGTCTTCGTGGCTGACTCGCTGGAGAAGCCGCAGCAGGCGGTGCTGGAGAGGAGGCTGGCGCTGTGTGAGGTGCTGCAGGGTGCAGCCTGTTGGTGCAACCCTACGGTTTGCATTCGGCTTGTTGTCCGTGTGCGTGCATGCGTGTGTGCATGGAATGGTACGATGGCATGAGATAATATATATTTCATGCTTACAATAGTTTGTGAATGATGCGGCATGATTTTGAATGTGTGTGTCGAGTCAATAGCGAGTTATCTCTAGTCGCATGTCACGTCGTTGTTTGCGTGTCGTGTGCGGTTTTCTATTTTGTTGTGTGTGGAACGTTCGGCGTGTCGCAAGTGTGCGCAGCAGACTTCCAAGAACTCAAGGAAGCATTTATTTTGAAGAACCAGAGCCATGGTTTCAGGATTCAAGTGATTTTGAAGCTCTCCAAAAGGGTAAACTTCAAGATAGTGAGAATAGTTACATTACAATGTGTATTGTAACATTTCTGTTGTTGTAGGCCCTTATTGAGGGTAGTTTCAAGACCCTTCATGGTTGGGGACACTGTAGCACTTTTCCACATCACTGTACCTTGGCTCTTGGGGTTTTTAGGAGCTGGGAGTCATTCCCAACTCGTAACTCTTCCTAATTTGTGTTCTAAGTCTATAGTGGCTGCCATAGTGCCGTTCGTTCAAACCGACATTGTGTCGTCCATTCTAAATGAAATCGTGCGATCTAAATTGCCTATTGTAGGCGACGTTAAGATACGCCAGATCCAAGTTGAATCAGGTAATTTGCAGCTATGACCAGAACACTATGAACGTTTAAAGCCTCTGTGCAGAAATCCGACTGTGCACTCTATCTTTCGTTTTAAGCACATTCAAGCCTACTGTGACTATAACATAGCCAAGCAGCCCGTTTTCTTCTTTGGATTCGTGGAGTGCACCACTGTGAATCCGTTTTAGCGACACGTCTTTCTTGAATCCACGGTGGACATAGGTTAGCAATTAAAGGCGCTTTGATGATGAAAACACGATGGAAACACGTATTGAGCCGAGTATTGTGCGATATATTTAATGATGAAAGTGACCAGCAACGGAAAACATGCAAATTGAAGCAGCCGAAGAAGACACAACAGCCAAGTGCAGCATGGGGGCCTCTCCCACCGAGGCGTTGGAAAGGCTTCTCACACTGCCCCGCGGTGGAGTCGCAGAGGCTGGTGCTTCTGTGAGTAGTGTCGAGAAGTGAAAGAAGAGAATGTGTGGATACATGAGAGATTTGGGAACTTTGAGTGGTGTGTCTGATGTAGAGGGAGTTCCAAGTGTAGTACAAACAACTGGAGATATGAGGACTCGCTATGTGTCGTTGAAACCACTGTCATCGGTTGCAACTTATGAGTGAGTTGAAGTAATGTCCTGTTAGTTTCCGAGTGCCCCTAAAGTCTGATACGCAATAATGGATTGGTCGGGTCGGAGCCAAGAGGCCAAGTTACAGCAGCAATAGGCAAACAACTTCTACCAGACATGTCGTAGGCTGGCTTGCCACGAGTTGGAAGAGGGCCGAGCCAACATATATGGGTGTGTCAGAGGTCCACTGGTGATCCCTGATTGATCCTAGAGAAGGGTTACAGGCTCGTTGTCCTGGGGGGTTATGGGCGCAGTGACCTGCTACTTAACAAGCCCTTTTATCCCAATGGTCTAGTGGTTGGGATTTTGACATGGTATCAGAGCAAACTTGGGTTCGAATCCTAGTAAGTGTCCTTCGGGCATCCCAGTGCGGGGGGGTGTGTAAGAGGTCCACTGGTGATCCCTGATTGATCCTAGAGAAGGGTTACATGCTCGTTGTCCTGGGGGGTCATGGGCGCACTGACCCGCTACTTAACAAGCCCTTTTATCCCAATGGTCTAGTGGTTGGGATTTTGACATGGTATAAAAGCAATCTTGGGTTCGAATCCTAGTATGTGTACTTCGGGCATCCCAGTGCGGGGGGGTGTGTAAGAGGTCCACTGGTGATCCCTGATTGATCCTAGAGAAGGGTTACATGCTCGTTGTCCTGGGGGGTCATGGGCACACTGACCCGCTACTTAACAAGCCCTTTTATCCCAATGGTCTAGTGGTTGGGATTCTGACAGGGTGCACAATAAATATTCTAGTAATTTTGTATTGCACTCAACATTCTACTTATGATTGGCCACTAGCATTTTCGGAAAGCAAGCTTTTGCTTTCTATGGTGCACTCCGTTTATGTTTCTTTCTCTTCCTTCTTATCTGTAATGAAATCCCGTCTGAAATATTTATCTTCAGAAAATAGGAGTACCCTATTCACGGCTTTGAGCGCACTCAGTTCAAGGGGTTTGTGGGGCTCATGCTGGCAATGCGACGACAACCAGTCGTGGTTCACATCGAGGCTTCTACTCTGAATTTCACACAATATGATGGGGTGGGTGTTTCTTTCCATGACCCTTCATGCACGTTAGAGATCGATGAACTTCAGGGCGCAATGAGAAAAAATAAAACATATCCTTTGTAAGAAGATGGTACAAGTCTGAGAGGCTAGAGCAATGTCCTTGTCCAAAGATAAGTTCTAGTGAAGTAGAAGGCCACATATATATGGCTGAACTCTTGAAGGCTAGCTGCAGCACCTCAAAGCTGAGTGCAAGGCTAGCCAACATTGCCAAGCTAGCATGTGTGAGGCCTCATGTTGCACGTGTGGGCCAGGATGGAACAACAACCCACATGGCAGCATATGGCACACCATAGGGGCCAGAAAGATTAGTATGGTATGAGTGGATATGTGGCAATGCCAACTGTGACCACACTTTACTGTGAGAGAGTGTGGTGGAGTGTGGACATGTGATGGTGAGCATAATGAGATGGGAGTGCAACTGTTGAGAGTTGAAACCACAAACTCTAAGACCAACGGTGAGAACTACCCATTGGGACATACTTGCTGCACAACCCTTTTCACGAGCTGTCAAGAGTTGTACACAAGTTGTTACCCGCAATAAGCTGTATGCTTGAAGTGGTTGTTTGTTGTTTGTCGTTTGTTGTGGTGCCTCCGTTCTCTTTAGACCTTCAAGTACTAGGATCCTGGATGCTATGCCGGCAGACTCAACCATGTTGTACTCGTTATTGGCTACTTTGTCTGGAGAAATGATGGGAGCCAAAATCGCATTGCGCCTCCCTTTTGGATCATCCGTAACTCGTGGGGAGTGGAGTGGGGCGACAGGGGCCACATGCGCATGGACATCCAGGGAGGGGATGGTGTGTGTGGCATCAACGTGCTGCCTAGCATCTACCCCATTGTCAAGAGTGAGGCATCTACCTCATTATCATGAATGGGGCACCTTCTCCCATCGCTATCTCTTTATCTCAACGTCCCCCTTCCAGTACCTCACGGAGTAAACTATGTTTGGGCCAGGGCTAAATCCACAGAAGAAGCATCCAATGAATCATTAGTCCAGGGGACGGCCTCAAGTTTTGTCTATGGAATAAAGTGGGGTGGAGGCATTGTCAAAATAGGGAAGAGAGTGTGAGCCAGTGCTGTCAAGAAAGTTGTGAGGTGGTCCTAGTGCTTCCAAATATTACGTCTGTCATTTGGGTAAGGCTTGTCTTTTCCTGCCCACCGTCTTTTTCAAAGCTGCATGCGCACCTGTTTCTACTCCTGTCCTCGTTTGCACCAACTTCCAGTCCCCAAGGACCCGTGCGGCCAGAGAATCTTCAAGGGCGATGGTGACCTGCAGCCCAGCATGAACCTGTGTGGGCGGTTCACATGCCGGGCTAACCTACGGAACAACAGCAACTCATGTGACTGTTCCATTCCCAACGAAGCTACGCAACAATTTGTTCAAGTTGCAAACGGATATGGCTTCCAAACTTGTGCTTACTGTAAGTAGTAAACTTCACGTTATCAAATCATATTTCTCATCCGTGGCCATTGTCTGAACAATAGGCGTTTTGAGAACAGTGGGCTTGTTCGATCGTTAGAAATTCTTTGAACCAATCCCCTCTCTATATCATTTCGGAGTTCTATCTCTCCTCTTCATCCATCCCCACACTCCTCCTATTGCTCCCAACACGTGTCTCTCTCTCAACGGTGTGCTCCATATCTGTGTTTGTGTCTTGGCGGTGGACGTGTGTGGGTCTGACTTGAAGAACCCGTGCTACGTGGGTGCATGCATCAACGATGGCAAGGGCTCCTACTCCTGCATCTGCCCTCCCAACTACATTGAAAGCACAACAATTGACAGCTTCCCCACCTGCGATCTAGGTGTTGCTGCCTTGGCTTCATTTGTAAGAGGGTCGCTGCTTCTTTCAGCTATTCTTGCACCATATGTTGGGGTCGTCGTCAACCCTGCGAACCGCTTCCACTGTCCACTACTGTGATGCACACACAACTAATAGGTTTGTTTTTTGTGTGTTCTCCTGCTTTCGCATTCGTCCTTTCCAGCCAACGTCACAGCCAGCACCGTGGCACTAAGTGGAAGCAACTGGTGGTGCTCCAATGTCCTCCCCATTGTGGGTCTCTCACTTACCCAATTCACGCAGCAGAATGTGGTAAGCAGAGGAGATGGAGAGGCTGGAAGAATGGAGAGGCAGGCAGCGCTAGTGATAGATCAGAAAATCATAGATCGCGTATTCTGTAGGGCTAATCAAATTTGTTGGTTCTTTAGAATGGAATCCTAAGCCCCATAGATGCTTAACTTCAGATCATAAAAACGTCTGTGGTCAAAATAAAAGCTATATTACGACACCTACACTTAACAGCTTAAGTTCCTCTGTCCGTTTACTTGCTGGCCCATCATGCAAACGATATGCCGTGTGTGTTCCTCCTCGCAGGGCATTGACTGCAATCAGGCTTTGCCTCGCAACATGGTGCTTCAGCTAGGAAGTCCTTTCCTCGTTCCCTGCACTGCGTTCTTCTATACCCTCAGTGTGAGAGTTAGCCCTTTTTTATCCTCTTCGTTGTATGGAATTTCGACAAATCAATCCTCTAGATTTCCCCACTCGGCTTTGCTTAGCTCCGCAAGATTGTTGCATAGTAAACCTGCACTCTATTCACATGAGGCTCCTGTGACTTCTCTCCCGTTGTTTCAACCCTCCACGGCGACACATGCTGGTCCATCAGCACCCAGCTGGGCGTCACCAGCAGCAACCTCACGGCACTCAATGCTGGCCTCACCTGCTCAGAGCCCATCAAGGCGGGCCGCTCTCTGTGTGTTGAGCGTAATGCCACCTTCACTTTCACCGTGCCTCAGTGCCTACGATACGGCGTGCTCACAGCACAGGACATGTGTGAGCGCCTACTGCTGTAGGTGGCAGGGAATGAGGACGACCCAACGGGGGATGGGAAGGCGAACGCTATGTGCTGGGCTGAGCTGTACCGCAACAATCCCGGCCTCATCTGCTCGAGTGTCATCCCGGTCTCTGCCTCTGCTGTTGGCAGCAATACTGGCGTGCAGGTGAGGGGTGGAGGGGAACCGGCTTAGGGGTGCAAGAGATGGGAAGGATATGGAAGGATAACTGGTGGGTGGACCGAATGTACGGTTTTTTCGATGGGTGAGTGTGTTACTATTAGCCCTCAATCTCACGTTTTGTACGTGCACTTTTATATCATAGCGTAGTGTGCACTTTGTGTTTGGTTGGGTGTACACCCACATCCCAACCAAACCCAAATGTGATCTCCAAGCAATCCCTAACCCACCAATTTGAGATTGCCTTGGGATTAACCCCAATCCCCTAGGATTGCCCCCGATTCACTCCCCATCCTTACCTTGCCCATTTCTGATGTACTTAAAGAGCCTTGAGCTTATTACTAATGCATGGATACTCAGCTCAAATTCTAACATGGTATCAGAGCCATTCAACCGAACACGAGAATCATGATCCTACTACCTTTGCGGAATCCTCTCCTACACTTCTAGGCAAAGCCGCCGTCAACATTCATCGCTCGACGTTAAGGATCGTCATCGACCTAATCTTCCCGGCCGGAATTTCTCCCGCGCCGTCCTCGTCGCCATGATTCGCGACATCTTCTGTGGGCAGATTCTCTCTCGTGCTACCTTTCCGCAGTCATGGTGCATCGGTTTCTGCACTTTGCTAAAGGTAACCGTCACTAGCATTTGCTCGCCATTCACCCTTAATCACCGCGGCTCTGTCCCGCTTTTCTTCTCGCTTCGGCGTAACCCTATTCTTCTCATCTCGTCAATCTTCGGGCTGCAGCGTCACCTTCGGGCTGCCGCCCGTCACCCTGCAGCTTCACATCCGGCCGACGCCCGTCGCCCTGCAGCGTCATCTTGGGCCGCCGCCCATCACCCCGCATCGGCACTTCTATCTCTCTGCAGCTGAACAGGTCTAGCTGAGCAGATGTGTAGTAGCGAAGCTGCGAAGCAGAGGGACAGGGCAAAGGGAGACTAGGGTTAATCGATAGTTCTGAAATCGGCGGCCGACATTTACGTTTTTCGCTCTTCGGGACCCTCAGATTTCGAAATCGCGATACCTTTCTTCACAATTCTCCTTTGTAAACCCTACCTTACAATTCTCCTTCATAAACCCCACCAAAAAAATTATCCTTCAGAAACCCACCTCAAAAATTATCCTTGAGAAACCCTACTTGACAATTCTCCTTCGAAAACCCTAAACCCGAAGTGGGTCTTCATCATGGCCTTCACCTCGTCCACCTTCGCCAACCCCATCACCCCACTCCGTCTTGAAGCCGACGGCACTAGCTCCAAATTCAAGGCATGGAGCTACGGGGTTGAAAAGCACCTTCTGAGCCGTGACATGCAGGGATTGGACCTCAAGGACGTCCTTTTCAACCGTGGCAAGGGAAAACAGCCCCCTCCCCCCAGTGAGCTGACCGATCCTGCAAGTGATGCTGACATGAAGGCGTACAAGGATGCTGTTGACAAATACCGTAAATGGGAAAAGGCCGATGCTGCTATCATCGGCGTCTTCATCGGCTCCACCCCTCCTGAACTTGTCAACACGTTCCACAACTATCCCACCTCTGACGCCATTTGGAAGTATCTCCACGATCGCATCATGAACAAGACGGCAGTCGGAGTTGCCATTCTCATCCCCAGCATGTTCCAAGTCCGCCTTGAGGATTGCTTGGGAATGGCCGACTACATTGCCAAGGTGCAGACCATTCATGGCGAACTCAAGGAGCTGGGTATAGTCTTCCCCGAACAAGCTCATGCAGCCGCCCTTCTTGTTGGCCTCACCTTAGCATAAAAAGTCACGAGGAAGATGCTCCTCACATCTTCGGCGAAAGACCTCACTTTTACCAAAATCTCCTCCGCCCTCCTCTCTGCCGAGAAAGACTCCACGGCTCAAGCCAAGGCTTACGCCCTCCGTGCTCCCGTGCCTCAAGCAGGTGTCGCCTCGGCACCCTACCAGCGCAACCGCTTCCCTCCGTGCACCTATGTCATCAAGTATGGCAACCGCAAGGGACAAGTGTGTGGTGGCACCAACCATCCCCTCACTACGTGTTTCAAGAAGAAAGACGACGAATTGTATGCCGTCCGCGGAGTCGACAAGAAGCCGCCGAGCTGGATGCGCCCTCGTAAGGCCAACCTAGTTGAGGTCCAGGACCTCGCTTCGGCTAGTGCTAGTGATAGTGCTCCTGCTGATGTGCGTATCAACTTGCTGTTCCCTGGCACTGGCATGATTAATGAAGCAAGCTCCTAGTACATCGGCTCATCACAAGCACCACAATACATAAAATTCCCACTCGACAGTGGTGCCACTCAAACAGTGCTCAAGGAGACACTCTCCTTCAAACCCTACTCTACACCCATTCCTTTCTTGGGAGCTGATTCAAGCTTCACCACTTTTGCCAAGGGTTTGTCCACTGTCCCATGCCCCGCATTCCCATCCGGCACCGTCATTGGCATGTGCGTGCCCTCACTAGGCCACAATCTATTGGCCCAAAAGGAACTTCAGAAGGCTGGAATCCGCACCATAATCTTGTAATACAAGGACTATTGTGATATCATTAACCCACTCACCAACACGGTCTTAGCTTGCTTCACCCTCAACAGCAGCGGACTCTACATGCTGCGCATACCTATCCCACAGGTGTCAACCACCCAAGCACAGGCTGCTATCCCACCATGCTCATGTCACAGTTTCTCTAACCCGACCGTCCTCTACCACCATCAACTCGAGCACCCAAACTTCCGCACACTTGCTGACATTGCCTCCAAGAAGCTTCTTCTCGGCCTGCCAGCTTCACTTCCTCCACCACCTGACTCGCCTGCTCCCACGTGCCTTGACTGTACCAAAAGCAAGCTACGCCAACAGCCCTACCCTACCTCACCCTCAGTAGGAGCAG